GTAACTAAGCGATCTCTGCCTTCTTGACACGGTGAAAAAATCACTCCAACATCACTTGAGGTAAATCATATAAGGAATGTGATATAGCAGCCGCACTACTAACTTTACTTAGGGTCCGCGTTACCTGTCCCTAACTTTCCTTACTGTAACAACAAGCACCTCCATTGGTTTCTGGTCAAAATACGGTTGGGACTGGAACTGGGGTTCTTGGAGATACGGTCAGTTGGCCGTCTCACACTGATTCTCGAAGACTGCAAAATATGGAAACTTTTGTAATCTATCAACAGTTGGATAAATGGGGCATGGACAGCCTGCCTGTTTCCAGAGCCGGCGAATTTGTGCGACCTTGTTCGGCTACGGGGCAAGATCTGCTGCGTCAGTAGCATATTGCCATGCCAGTCGCTTAGTGCAAAGCCATACCCAGATGTCTTGCCACCAGATGACAGGATGCGTATGTTTCGGCGCACAACGGGGCACCTAGTAGATGCGCTGGACTAACACTACGTGCAGATAAGAACGCAAATAACGTTACTAGGGATTTGCACCTACAGTAACCGCCACACATCTGGTGGGGTGTGGTGGCATCCTTGAACGCAGGTTCATGTTGTCGGCCATCTATGTTCAATCCCCCCTACAGCTTTCTTGACTTAGTCATGAAATTGGATCCAGGAGATTAAGGGAAGGGAGGGAATGATCTACCATCACTACAAACTATTTCAAGCGAAAGTCGCCGCCTTGGCGCCTACCACTTGATAGAGTACAATGGTGGTAATCGGGCATGGTGGTAGGGCAGACATAGTATCTAAATCGATTTTCAAGGCGGTGGAAATTGGAACATAAAATTACCCATTTAAAAGTAGTTAACTTCCACCCCCGAGAACAACGTTAACAACCTCCGTTAACGTTATCAACTCTTTCTCAACGGCGGGATTTCGATTTTGTAGCGCAGCAGATGACCCGCCATCATTGGTTTTAAGTTGGAGTCAGCCATCTGTCATCTTTTACACTCTGTTTGTTATGATTAGTTGCTTTGAAAAAAATGTTTTGCCTGTGCAGCTTCATTTCCCTTCGGGTTTATGCTTTTATTCTAGGAAAGAAGCCTTGGAAGAACTGATGGATGCCCTGGAGG